TACTGTACCGCGTATTAGCGGTGTGAGGGAGAGGCCATGAGCGGCCTCTCGTGGAGGGAGTGTGTAGTGGACTAAGGTAACAGGAGTTTTCATTTTATAAACACTTTTATTACACTACACTTGTTCTTAATAGCATGTCTGTTTTTCTGGTTAGATCCAGTATCAAAGTCAATTTTAGTTTCAAAAGAACTAACCAGCTTGGCACACTATGAGGAGGACGGGGTTTGTGAACAAAACCTCACCACATGGCCGAGCGCACAAGGGTATAGGCCTTGCCTCGCGGGCACCTACACCTCACAACGACACAGTGCTCAACACACGGTAGTTCACTTGTTATACAGGCAACATATTTGCAGTTGTTGACCTATCCCCACCCTACTGGGTGGTGTTGTGTTATTTCGAAGTCAAGTGTGAAGCCGACCCTGTTGTTCTCAGGGTGGACTGATTAGCACCTCCTTGTCAGGAGATGGCGGTCAGTACCCAGTGGTGCTTATCTCACTGGCGGGTCACGGCTCTCACTGGTACTGTCTAGTACTGAATTCACTGGCAAACACTGTTCTTAACTGTTCAACACTGGTTCCACTTCCCGAAACAATGTCACTTTTGATTATGTTGATATCCCGTGGTGAGGATGGGTCAGGAGAGGACTTGGGGAATGGGCCGAACATTGGCCAGGGTGAGAGCTGCTCAGCAGGAGCAGCGCCTAAATAGGTCTTGACCCACCGGTGGTCAGGTCATCAGTGTTGAGGAAGGAGGTACTGGCTGTGTCTTTCCCAAGGTCGCTCAGTGGTGGGCGGTGTACTCCCCTCACCTGATCGGTTGTCAATGCCGCGAGTGGAAGCTACCTCCTTCTGGTGCGTCATAGATGATGCATAGTTAGCGTTGTTTAATGACGTGTTTATGAGTCAGTCACGGCGTCGCTAAAGACGTGTTAGTTGGGTTGTTTAATGACGTGTTTATGCATCAGTCACTGCATCACTGAAGACGTTGGAGTTGGCGTTGTTTAATGACGTGTGCATGCGTCAGTTGCGGCTTCACTGTAGACGTTGAAGAACTGTCCACTGCTTTCACGAGACGTTGCTCACTGTTGTTCATGTGTATACTGATCACTTGTTACTCAGAACTCAGTAGGGATAAATCAGGTATGAGCTGTCTTGGTATGGGCCTGTGTTGAACGTTGAAGTGAACGTTCGTCGTTTTTATAAGAAGTCGGGGAAGACCAGTGTCAGTCCCAGACCGACATAGGGTAGCTACACCACTACCAACACGCGACAACGCTGTTACAGCCTCATTAATAGCGGCGTTAACCAGCGGAAGTGTTATCAATTTCGGCGAGAGTTAGGTCAGTCAAGTTAGCGTTAGACATTGATGCGGGTGTTTGTTCAAATGTACTTTCATTGGCATCCTATCAAGAGTTACAACGTAGATCCCTCACCAAGAATTTTCATTCGACCTACTGACACCGATCTCTCAGGAGTTTTCGGTACTCAGCTGGACATAATAGGTACATGTCTGTACCATTGCTCTCTAAGAGGGTGAATGTGTTGTCCAACGCTCCACTACGAGGACGATGTTCTGAGTCAAAGTGGTCCAAACCCCACAGACTCACTTCCCCAGCATGATAATAGCAGCATAATAATAATAATAATAAACAGTTTATTAATAAAGTTGCAGCCGGTGGCTGAAAACATACAAACATTCCAAACTCAGGAGAAAAAAATATTAATCCTTTGAGAATCTCTGAGTGTGAGGGAGTGTTGGGGGCCGGGTGATGGGGTGATGGAGAGTTGTTGGGGCCGGGTGTTGGAGGTTGTTGGGGCCGGGTGATGGGGTGATGGAGGATTATTGGGGAAGGTGATGGGGTGGAGGATTGGGGGCCGGTGATGGGGTGTTGGGGGCCGGGTGTTGGAAGATGTTGGGGCCGGTGTTGGAAGATGTTGTTAGGGGCCGGGTGTTGGAGGTGTTGGGGCCGGGTGTTGGAGGATTGTTGGGGGCTGGGTGATGGGGTGATGGAGGATTGTTGGGGGCCGGATGGGGTGTTGGAGGATTGTTGGGGCCGGGTGATGGGGTGTTGGATTTTGGGGCCGGGTGTTGGAGGTTGTTGGGGGATGATGGGGTGATGGAGGAGGAGGATTGTTGGGGGCCGGGTGATGGGTGTTGGAGGATTGTTGAGGCCGGGTGTTGGAGGATTGTTGGGGCCGGGTGATGGGGTGGAGAGGTGTTGGGGCGGGTGATGGGGTGTTGGAGGATTGTTGGGGGCGGGTGATGGGGTGTTGGGGGGCCGGGTGTTGGAGATTGTTGGGGCCGGGTGTTGGAAGATTGTTGGGGGCGGGGTGATGGGGTGTGGGGCCAGTGTTGGAGGATTGTTGGGGGCCGGGTGTTGGAGGATTGTTGGGGGCCGGGTGATGGGATGTTGGAGGATGATTGGGTGATGGGATGTTGGAGGATTGTTGGGGCCGGGTGATGGGGTGTTGGGGCCGGGTGATGGGGGCCTGGTTTGGGATAAATGTGTGGTGAAATTCAACTCAAATACCAATACACAGCCTTATTAAAACAGCATTCACAGCTTTATTAAAACAGCATTCACAGCCTTATTAAAACAGCATTCACGCCTTATTAAAACAGCATTCACAGCCTTATTAAGCAACATTAAAAGCATTAAACAGCATTCACAGCCTTATTAAAACAGCATTCTGGCCTTATTAAAACAGCATTCACAGCCTTATTAAAAACCAACTTACTCTTCAGAAATCATATACGCTAAAAACCCATCATGTGTAGCGTTATAGAAAACAAGAATATACGCAGCCTTTGAGACCATTTACGCAGTTCTAAAACGCCCTTCTCAACAGCGTCGAAAACCTGATATCGTATACAAAAAGGGACTCAATATACGCAGTCCTGTAAACTCAATATACGCAGTCCTGTAAACTCAATATACGCAGTCCTGTAAACTCAATATACGCAGTCCCATGAAGTGAATATAGAGAGCCCCGTAAACACAATATACGCATCATAGAGAGCTCCGTAAGCTCCAACATACTCAGCAGAGCCTCGTAAGCCCCAACATACGCAGCATAGAGCCTCGTAAGCCCCAACATACGCAGCATAGAGCCCTTGCCGTAAGCCCCAACATACGCATCATAGAGAGCCTCGTAAACCCACTCACTCTACGCAGCTAACATGATAGATAGTATACATGAGAGAGGAGAGAAGAGAGAGCAGCTCCCAGCAGCCGAGGAACAAACAGCTCCCCATGATGGTGGTGGGGTAAACTGGAGGCTCACCCAATGGCTGCCTCTGGCCTGGCCTCTGCTCTCCCTCTCCCTCCTCCACCACCACCTAACCCAATTGGCTAAATGCAACGGGTAAATTTCTGTCGAGTAAATGGTACAAATTCGCCGATGAATGTCCAAATACCAGGCGGAAAAGTTGGCTTGTCACAAAACAATTATTTTGTACCCACCCTGGCTGGCACTCAATGAATTTGGCTTTGTAAATAGTTGGTTGTGTGTGTGTGTGTGTGTGTGTGTGTGTGTATTATGTGCCAATGGTTTCCTCCCCCCAAAATACCGGGCGTCTTGTGATGGGCACTGTAAACAAGTGGTTGAAGCGTCTAGTGGTTGTGACCAGCGAGCTTGGTGATAAGGCTTATGAGCAATACGAAAGTAACTTTGTTGATAAACGAGGTTGTCTTTAATACCATACTGCCTAAAAACAGCACCCATTTCTTTTACTACTCTCACCACCACGAGGTCAGACGTACGATTAATCTCCCATAGGCAGTACAGAAAAGCTTATCAATTGAAGAGAGTGTCATTTTAAGTGAAGTTTAACACATATACCAACAACATTCAAAGTCTTTTAAGTTTAGTTCACACTGTAGTACATGAAGAATGAATCAACGTAGGTGTGGGTATGGATCGGAGAGGGTTTTTGCGTTGTTGTACGATAGTTTTTCCCCCTCAGTGTAGAGCGAACCACAACCCAAAGTAACCATCAGTATCAGTCGGGAAAGACGAGGTGGTGTACACTCGCGCTCACGCTCTCATGGATTGAGTATTCTATTTTACCCTCCAAACATATAACTGAATTTTGTACTGAAGGTGAAGCAAACGACGATAATACTCACACACACTAAAGTGACCACAGTGACATCTAGGTGACACATAAACCGGTGATTTTCTTAAACTTACATATATTGTGCGCGTAGGCTGGTGGAGGACAGGCCTAGTCCGGTATATAAAAAAAAAAATCCCATTATACCAGAGATATATTTATAGGGTGCGTTATAGCCCGTGTTATTGACTGAGGCCAAGACCAGTGTGTGACAGCAGGTAGTGGAGGCATCATCTGTGTGTATGGTCATCTCGAGGCCAACAAATGGATTAGACAAAACTGGTAAGTTGAACTCTTCTTGGTTATGGTGGTGACTCAGCCTGCTGCCTCCACAATCAATGTCTTTATAAGTAAAACTCCAACAATTGGTAATTATTTTAAGACAGCCGTACAAATTATGACCATCTTACCAACGTGATCCACTACTATTAACTAACACCTGACAGAGGCCATCATCATCACTACACACACTTCACCACCACTAGTTATTACACACACACTCACACACACACACACATCAAAAAATGTGTTATTCGTGTTATGACTTACGGTGACGTGGTAATTGATGATATAAGTATGTTATTGCTGTCATTAGCGTCTGTGAAGTAAGTTAAATATAGGGACAGTAGTTTAAGAGTCTCGGTGTTTTTTGAAACAATTATGTAAAAACTGGGCTGTTAATAAATTCCGTTTATGTGAATGATCTCTATAATTAGGTGTTGACACTGGCGGTGTGATGACATAGACTATGACGTTTCTCTTGATAACGTTGTGAGGTTTGGAACACCGTTTAAAAGGCTATGGGGGGGGCGGCCTTCACGCATACAAACACAGTATGTTACGTTCTGTCTTCATTCATTCATACATACATAGTTACATTTTTTACACACACACATATATGATATTTATCATCTACAGTGTATATATGTATGTAGGAAGAATGTAGTGTGTGTGTGTGTGTGTGTGTGTGTGTGTGTGTGTGTGTGTGTGTCCAGCCTCCTACAAGGTTGATGGTCGATACAGTATTAACGTTGACGTGTGTTAACCTGCCTGTTATTCTAGGTCTTCCTCCTCCTTCTTCTGTTCTTCTTTTTCATTCCTCTTCTTCTTTCCTCTTGTGTTCCTCCTCCTTCATCTTCTTTTCCTCCTCCTCTTTCTGTTTCCTTCTGTTCCTCCTCACCTCCTCCTCCTCTCCTCTTTCCCCTCCTCCCCATCTCCCCCTCCTCCCATCTCCCTCCTCCCCATCTCCCCTCCTCCCATCTCCCCCCCTCCCATCTCCCCCCTCAACCCCCTGTTACATTCCAACCTTCACTCGCCTGGAATATGATGGTCAGACTCCAGAACTTCCTCACTCTGTTTTGGAATACGAACCCACCCACCCACCCTTCCTTCCTTCCTTCCTTCTTCCTTCCTTCCTTCTTCCTTCCTTCCTTTCCTTCCTTCTCCCTCCTCCCTCCTCTCCTCCATACCTCCTGCTATCACCCCCCATCACCCACCCCCCATCCCCCATCACCATCTCGTGAAGCCAACCACAGTAAATTCCTCCAGGTTTGGTAGCTGTCCATTTAACCCAGGTACACACACACACATTGATGCAGGTACACACACATTGATGCAGGTACACACATCGATGCAGGTACACATTGACACAGTTACAGGTACACACACATGTACACAGTTATACACGATGACACAGGTACACACATTGACACAGTTATACACATTGACACAGGTACGCACACACATTGATGGTACACACATATTGACACAGTTATACACATTGACACAGGTACACACACATTGACACAGTTATGCACATTGACACAGGTACACACACACACACACATTGATCACAGGTACACACATATTGACACAGTTATACACATTGACACAGGTACACACACACACACACGTACATATAAGTGTTGATACAAGGAAAGTGAATTAGTTTATCATTACTGGTAATATATTAACACTTGATCTGAAGGTTTGTATTTACGCCTCTGATGCTTCCCACTGACAGTCGGCACGTCACCTCAAGATTAACCAACATAACTTAACCTAACCTAACTTAACCTAACCTAACATAACCTAACCTAACCTAACATTACCTAACCTAACATTACCTAACCTAACCTTACCTCACCTTACCTTACGTGTTTGGTAGCAAACCTCACCTTACGTACACGGTAACCTCTCCCAACCTAACCTAACATACACAAACTCATAATACAGTATATATATATATATATATATATATATATATATATATATATATATATATATATATATATATATATATATATATATATATAGAAAGAGAGAGAGATCACACACTTGGCAAACGGCATCTCTAAATATATTCATTTATTATCTACAGCGATGTTAACAGATCACAAGACACAAAGAAAAAAATACTATTTAATATATATATATATATATATATATATATATATATATATATATATATATATATATATATATATATATATATATATATATATATATATATATTTATTTATTTATTTATTTATTTATTTTATACCCACGATATCTGATGGTGGTAGGGTGTAGTGGGCGGTGATGTGTGGTGGTGATGATAATGGTGGTGGTAGTAACACAGTGTACAAGAGCCTAATACTGTTGCGGCCGTGTGTTTGTTTACGTTTGGTTATATTGAGTTGGTTTAGCGAAGTTTGGTATGTACTTCTCTCTCTCTCTCTCTCTCTCTCTCTCTCTCTCTCTCTCTCTCTCTGGCTGGGTATATGGTGGTATTATTGGCTTGGCCTTGATCGTAGCCTTTTTACCATTGCTTATATTCTTACACGGTACAGTAGCTAAAACAACTATCAGTTTATACTTTGTGGGAAACAATATGAGACCATGGATGATAATTATTGGTATATGAGGGCTGTCACTAGTCACACGTCATTTGGGAGCATATCGACCCCCACCTGCACAAATAGTTGTTTTACGTACTGTACAGTGTTTGTATAGTAGTAGTGGTAGTAACTGGTCGTCTTAGGTCAAGTGAAAGGCTTAAGGTGTTCACTTTCGTAAATTAGGGATGAACTGTTGCTTGGAATCTGACCTAACACTAACCTAACCACTCCTAAGAACATAAGAATGTCCCCTTTACACAACCTATGTTTGAAGTTATCAATTACTACTACTACTACTACTACTACTACTACTACTACTACTACTACTACTACTACTACTACTACCCCAACTACTACCACTAAAGTATCTTCACTACCACAACTACCCCACTATAATTTTCTATATTCATTATAGTGTTTATCTGGTGCCTAAAATTTTCCCAAAGTTAAAAGTTTCAATAATAAACCAGAAAAAAATCCTTTGTCTCGTAAATCATTCCTTTCTCTTCTTTTAATTTGTTCCTTCTTATTTACTTCCTTCCTTCCTTAAAAAACTTTTGTAGAAATAAGTTAAAAAGGTTTAGGTACGTAGTGTCTCTGTCTCCTCATTTCTTTATTAATTTTCTTCCTTATTTACTTCCTCCTTCTTTCTTTCTTCCTTCATTTTTTTGTAGAAATAAATAAAAAGGTTTAGGTACGTAGTGTCTCCCTCTGGTGGCTTCTGGCAATCCGCCACATGTAAACAAACTCGCCAACGTTCTTATTATTATGAATCATCTCGGTTTTTAGTAACATCCCCCTTCCTCCCTCTCCCTTCCCCTTCCCTCTCCCCATCCCTTCCCCCTCTCCTTCCCTCTCCCCATCCCCCATCCCCTTTCCCTCCTCCTAAATATCGTGGAAGCTTTAATCTGATTTAATAGATGTTCTGGGAAATGTTAATGTAGCTAATTTAATACTGGAGAAATGTTGAATGTTTATCAGTGTTTATGTGGCGCTTGTGTATGACGTGGTAAGTTGGCCTGATGTTAGGTTAGGTGAAGTTAGGTTAGAGTAGGTTATGGTAGGTTAAGAAGTGAGTTATGTTATGGTTCAAGTTAGAGTTAGTTAGGTTATTGAGGTTAGAGAAGTTTGTGAGGTTAGATTAGGTTAGATGGAGTTGGTTATGGTAAGTTATTTTAGGTGTGTTGAGGAACCGAAAGTATTTGTTATATATGTGGGTAAATTTTTTTGACATTCGTGATGATTATGAGGAGTGTGGGTTGGGGGGAGGGCAGGGTGAAGCTATGGGCAAGTTTCTTTTTATACGCCATTTGCCTCTGTTTACCCAGCAGTAATTGGGAACTTGGATGTTAATCGATTTGTGGAACGTGTTGTGGGGTAATGGTTAGCCAGTGTAGTTGGCGAGATGTCCGGTCTTCTCGGACTAAGGGCCAATTGCAAGAACAGTCGTGGGTTGTACGACGCATTTTACGATGACCTTGCCCTGATCTTGTTTCAGATATACCACCCTTTTGAAGCTCTGGAGATCTCGAAGTTTCGATATTTTGAGTACAGCACTAGCTAATAATTCCCACCAGGAAACTTGTTTCAAGACTCTCCAAAGCTTCAAAAAGTGCAGAATTCCATGTGTTAAAGTGTGTATTGAAGAAAAAAGACCAGGGCAAGAAGGTCATCGTAAATGGCGCCGTACACCCTATAACCGTTCTTGCAATTGGCCCTATTCCTTGACACTGGGTCATGCAGCTCGTTAACTCAGGGCGTGGTTGTTGTGTTGGCGACAGCTTCTACATTTTAAACACTAGTTCATGCAGCTCGTTAACTTATTGGTTGTTGTGTTGGCGACAGTGCGTTAATGTTCGAAATAAGGCAAACAGAGTATTGGTTTTATATCTAGAAGTGTAAGTAATAAGAGTGCAGAGGTCTTATTGCAACTATATCTTGCGCTAGTCGACCGCACCTCGATTATGCGGTTCGGTTGGTGCCCTTATTATAGAATGGATATCAATTTACTGGAGTCGGGCAGCGAAAGAATGACGAAAATGATTCCGGGCAAAACCTTCCATATCAAGATAGGTTTAAGAAACTTAACTTGCATTCCCTAGAAAGATGAAGAGTGCGGGGAGATATGATAGAAGTATTTAAGTGGGTGAAAGGAATCAATAAAGGCGATATAGATAAAGTTCTTATAATATCCGAGCAGGATAGGACTCGTAGCAACGGATTTAAGTTGGATAGGTTTAGGAGGAGATAGGAAGGACTGGTTCACAAATAGGGTGGTGGACGAGTGGACAAGCTTAGCAACTTTGTAGCTAGTGCTGGAACGCTGGAGAGTTTTAAAGGAGGCTAGATAGATTCATGGATGATAGAGAGTGGTAGTAACTCTCGACAGGAGCTGCCATG